AAGAATTTGTGCCTTCTCGTCTGAAAAGAAATCCCCAGGAGGATGTCTCTGCTCGAAGTCTTTCTAAAAATATTAATCTTTCAATCAGTTTTATTAAGGGACAATCCCTTTTGTCTTTCTTCCAAACCTTAAGGCTACCCCCGGACTATGGAGGGCCTAGAACTTGTTTCCATGTGAAGTCTCTCTAAGAGATCTGAGCCTCAGGTCTTGGTAGGTCCCTAGTCAAAATGACTGAACAGATTGGTTCTGAGGCCCTATAGAATCTGTACCTGTATTGGTGTGCCTCAAATGCATGCCATTGTTTATTTTGGATTTTCAATTGACTTCCCAAATAAATCTGAAAGTGGTGGTGGTCTAGGTTGTTTCAAAGTAGACCCACTCAGAAGAGCCATTTAGTTTTGGCAGTCTGTCTTGGATTTAGGGTTTACATTTCCTGATGGTTTAGAGCCAGTGATGGCAATTAGGGGTTACCTACCGGGCACATCAGCTGTATATTGTCTGTTGTTCAGTATGTCTAGCTGCATTCATGTCCTTCTTGATGGTGTTAGAAAATTACATGTTTTTTTTAAGAAAATTCAATTCAAGGTAGCCAACATTTATTGACATTCGTCAGATGGAAAGCATTGTACTAGGTGCTGGGAAGATACAGATATGCAAACACACTCATAAACTCATAGTATTTGAGAGACTATGGTGAATGATGTAGAGATAGAAACCAAATGCCATGGGAGTATGAAGCTGGGAAGAAAGATTTAGATTTTTTATTATGGTTTCTCAAAAAAAGAAATTTAATCTTTTGTGCTTTAAAATTGTAATCAATGAATACTTGTGGATCAATGGGAGGACGTATGGTAGAATTAAAACACTAAAAACAAAACATGTCAGTTCTGGTTTCGATAAATATGAGAGATATAGAAAAGATGAACTTTTCATAATTATTTTTCTCCTGTTGTGTATTTAGAAAAAAGTGGAGCCATTTGCCAGTGTTCTTAGGTTACCATACCCATTCTCCTCAGAAATCAATAAAGTTGCTGTATTTACACGGGTGAGTAACTTTTGTCAACTATTTCTCTCTCTCTCTCTCTCTTTAAGAGATCACAGTAATCGTTGAGAACAACTGAATAAATAGAGTTAGAGAAAATCTTAACATTCACCTAGTCTCATTTTCCCCATTTGGAGCTCAAAGCAGTTGTGTTGTTTATTTGAAGTTACGTCACCGGTTTGAGAAAGGGCTAACGTAGAATGTGAATCTCGTCATTGCTAGTCCATCACGTCGTTTCTCAGGAGAAGCTAGAGAGAAGTGTGGGATTTATCCTAATAAATCCTTCCGACTCAAACTTCCCCAAACAACAACAGG